TTATTAGAAAAGTAATTTAAAAGGTTTTATACAAAAAATTAAAAAATATTATATGAAAAGTTTTTAAATTTTGATAAAATTTTATTGGATTATTAATTTTATTGTGTTTAGTAAAAAATTAATATAAAAAAAGTTAGTAAAAACATTATTAAGAAAATCCAATATAAGAAAAATTATAAAAAAAAACTTATTTCTTTCTAAATAAGTGATAAAAATTTTACAAATTAAAATTATATCCAAAATATTCAAAACACTATTTTATCTTTCGTTTATCATAATATTAATATATAATATATATAAATAAACTTAAAAAAAAAATTTAAAAAGTTTATTAAAAAAAATTGCTCTCCAGCCTAACACCCCCTAAGCGTCCTAATCATCACTATGTTGGAAGAACCTGTTAATGGTAGGCGGAAGTTACTTGACATTTTTATTAAAAGTGGTACTATAGGATAAATTTTTTGTTTTAATTTTTTTATATAATTTTTACATATCATTAAATAAATTAATATATTTAATATTATAAATTTTATATAAATTATTTAATATTATAAATTTCACATAAATTTAAAAAATTAATTATTTTAATGACACATTAAATTATATAAAAAAATAAAATAAAAAATTATAAAAAAATATTTTCTATTTATTAAATATTGAGCAATCATTAGCTAGTGGGGGCGTTTTGTTCTCGTCTTTTATTAGGGTGTGAATTTTTCCTGTCCCATACCTAGACTAGGTGAACTTGTCTTTGTCCCTACCCCATTTTGGCATTTTTACCTATAAATTCTCTCTTCTTTTCTTCCATGACCCAATCTGTGTGTGTGATACCATGTCTCTTCAAGTGATGTCCGAGGAAACCCCCCATGGCCTCCATGACTTAGAAAGGGAGAACACTAACCCTCCTTCTCCCAAAAGGTTATCCCTCTCATTTCACCCCATTCTGCATTTTTCATAATATTAGAGTTCATGGCTATCATCATTTTTTCTTGAATTCAAATTTCAGACTTCCCAAACTCCAAGTATTAAATCACTGAATCAATGCATCCTTGGATTTTGAAAACTTTCATTTTAATGATAGATATTCATGAACAAAGCATCAAATGCACTTTTAATTTATATTTTTAACCCAGCTATATATAAATATATAGCTGGGTTGAACCATGAATTCAACACTATGTTTTGTTCTGTTTTCTCTGGAAAACAGAATATAATTATAATTAGCTGAACCCATATTTTGTTTATGTTCCTATTGTATACTCAGATTGGAAGGAAAAATTGCAATTATCACCGGCGGCGCAAGCGGGATCGGCGAGGCAACGGTGAGGCTCTTCGCCCGACATGGTGCCAATGTGGTCATTGCCGACATTGAGGATACGGTTGGAACTGCTCTCGCCAACTCGCTAGGCCCATCCGTTACTTTTGCACACTGTGATGTCAGCTCCGAACAAGACGTCAAGAACTTGGTGGAGTCCGCGGTATCCCAGTACGGCCGCCTCGACATCCTCTTCAACAACGCGGGGATCGTCGGAAGCCAGACGAAGGGCGAGAGCATCTTGAATTTCGACGCCGATCGATTCGATCAAGTAATGCGCGTGAACGTTAAAGGGGTGGCGTTGGGAATCAAGCACGCCGCACGTGTGATGATTCCGAGGAGAGAAGGGTGCATCATTTCCACTGCCAGTGTAGCTGGAGTCATGGGCGGATTCGGGCCTCACGCCTACACGGCGTCGAAGCACGCCATCGTGGGGCTGACGAAGAATGCTGCTTGTGAGTTGGGGCGGAGTGGGATTAGGGTCAATTGCATTTCCCCATCTGGGGTGGCGACGCAGATGCTTATGAATTCATGGACGATTGAGGATGAGGAGGAAGGTGAGGAATGCATGAGTTCTGAGGTTCCGCCGAAGCGAGAAGTGGAGAATACGGTGGAGGTTTTGAGGGGGTTGGGCGATTTGGAAGGCGCGACTCTAAAGGCTAGAGACATTGCTAATGCTGCTCTTTACCTTGCTAGTGATGAATCAAGATATGTGAATGGACATAACCTTGTTGTGGATGGAGGAATCACCACTTCAAGAAATTGTGTTGGTCTATGAAAGCTGTCTCACCCAAGAATAAAATATTCAAATAAAAATAATAATGATTAGAGAATGAAAAATAATATTGAAATATAATATTAAATGAATAAGGTTTGAAATTTATTTAATTAATTTATTTAACTGTTATAAATTTTTTTATCTTTTTTTGTTATTCAACTATATGTTTTACATGCTCCAATAAATAATTAAAAAATATAACTTTGAAGATTAATGATAATAATAAAATGTTTATTTTTCGAAGTTCTCTTTTTCTTTTTCTTTTTTTTTTTCTCAATAATAATGGATTATATTTCTGGGGACTCAAGATCAAGTCCATAAGGCAATAACCCCTCGAGAAACGAACAAAACGACTTTTTGGCATAGTAGATGAACGCATCTTACAGATGGTAAATAGTGTTGTGCAGAGCTTTCTAAGCAAAAATCCAAAACAGGGCACTTGCATTCTACAAATACTATTCACGTTTTTGGGTCTGTGTTGTCTTCTCTATTCATCCATGAATGAACAGGTGGTTTCATAACACTGTCAGCATCTTCTGAGGAAAACCATTTTTGTTCCTTCAAAACACTGCCTGAACTTGTAGATTTTTCAGTTGCAAGAGCAGAGAACCTAGGGCTGCTCCAAAGTGGAGATGGAACCGCCCCATCATGGTTCAGTAGGATCTGGCCATTTTGATCTCTCTGCTTTTTGCATAACTTGTCTTCCACAACATCATAGAAGTCAGCTGTTCGAACTTCCTGAGCAAGAGAGCACCAACAACAAAAAAGCCATTGTGCACAATCTGCTATAGCAGGTCTTCCACAGCATATGTTATTTGCTGGCAAATTGAATCTCTTCCTCATTTGCATTCTCCAGAACCCACCATATAGCAAACCAAACACACAGAGAATGATACCAGTTGATCCCAGAGCCTCCCTGACCGTGTCATTATCAATGTTGATGGCAGCCAAGTTGAAGACCCAAAAAGGAGCTGTGCATAAGAGGAGAAAAGTAGCTGTATGAACATACATGTTTCCGAAACCCAATCTATCCATGTTCCATCCAAGGACACAGAAGCTGCAAAAAAGAGAAAGATATGCCACTTCTGTGTTATCCCAGATGTCAAATAATCCTCCTCTCCATGAAGGTGCATACTCAACAATCTTCTCCTTGTTTCTTGATGCAAAAGAGAACCTTTTTTCTAGCGATTTTCTCCTGCAGCTGTGATGGATAGTGCTGCCATCGAGAATTTGATCCTCTACTTCAACATCAACTTGAGGGTC